GGGCGCCTATGCATGTGCAGCAAGGCTGCTCTGATGCGCTGTAATTACAGCGCTTTGGAGCAGATTGATTAATCAAGTCTGCTGAAGCGTGGTAATTACTGCACTCCAACAGACTCCAGTAGCACGTGTATCAGCATCCCCATGCTGAAAAATGGCAGCAGGAGCACTTTAACTAAAGCTTGCTCAAAAAATTTTAGTTAAAGTGCCCCTGCCACCATTTTTCAGTGTGGGGACGCTGATACATGTGACACTCCGGGTGCTTTGCTGACAGCGACTCTCAGAGCTGCTCTAATTAAACCACCTCCCGCAGCCCCTACTCCTGAAGCACATGTATAAACACCCTCAGTTTGTAAACCACAAATGACCTGAGCTCAAATACTGACATCTAGAGACTCAGCTCAGCCAAGATAATGGTACCTCTGGCCTGTGTCATAGCAGAATTTTAAGTGCCTAAGGTCAGTCTGCCAGCAAATGTAGGAGCCTACAGGATCTCAAGTGGCTACACAAGTTAGGCGAGGCTTTTGGTAGAGCTCTTTCTTGCACTTACATCCCATTTCAGGCACCTGAATTCCTTTGCAAATCTCATGCTGGTTCTTTTTTTCCTTCAGCTCAAGAAATTGATGTTATTTATTTGGGTATCCATAGTGTAGTGGCTTACTGTGCACAAGATGGCAGCATGCTGAAGGAAAAATGGTCTAGCCCTGGAGAGTGACACCGATATGGAACTAATGTTCACTTGTTAAACAGACCATGACACATAACACTGAAAAACATTAACAAGGATGGAAGCCAGGAGGCAACCTAAGCCAGGCTGAATGTCACCAATGTCACAATTCTGTTGCACAAGGTCAGGGTTGCCAACCCAATGTAAGATTTTTTACTGACAATCTACAAGCTTTTTACTAACAGTCAAACTTTTTTTACTGACATGTGTTTTACATAATGTAAATGTAACCCTTCACCAGACCCTGCACTCAAATTTAAGGGTTTACTATCCAACACAATAAAAATAGTTAGTCATTAGTAAAAAGCTTTGCAGCTGGTCAGTAAAAGAAAAAAGGTGGGGGTTGGCAACTGTCTCTGATGTGGTTTTATATCATTCTCCCCCACCCCACCAGGTATCTCCTACTCATTCCCAGACCCTGATACTCCACAATAACACACCACAACATGCTGCCCCCCACCTCAGCACCCCAGCCTTACCCCCACCAGCCCATCTCTATCCCAATAAATGGCGACTGTTTGCCTACCTGTGAGACAAGAGATGTTACTGGCAAAGGGGATGCAGCAGCAGCAAGAGCACATGGTTTGGGAGGAGGGACAGAAAGCTGTGGAGAATCCCACAACTGACAAAGCCTTGGGAAGAGCTCCCTTTAGGGTGCTGTGCTTCTGCTCAGACACCAGGTGGCAATGCTGTGCTCCATCTATGTCCAGATTTGTTCTGACCAGGGAGCTCGACTGAAACTCTGGTGGCTTCTTGTTTTTACAGATGGCATAATTTTCTTACAGATTTTACTGACAGGTGTTTTTAGGCTTGATTTTATGGAGCAGTCATAAATTTACAGGAATTTAGCAACTCTGCACAAGATGCACCAAGCACTTTAGGGATCAGTGGGCACATCTACACATGACATTATGTCACCATAGGGACACACTACAGTGATATAGCTCATCACTATGGCTATGTAGCATCGGTGGGCACAAACTGTGACGCCAATGCTACATTGCAATAGCAATGAGCTACCTTGCTACAGCGTGTCACTACGGTGGCGTAGCTGCTAAAAATAACCGTGCACTGCTGGGACAGTGCAGTAATGGCAACGCAAGTACTAAATGGTGGTACAGTAACAACTGCACTGTGGGGGGCATGTGTATACGTGCCCTGGAGGCACATTTTAATGACTTCACAAAGAACCCAGAAGTGTGGCAGGAAAAAGCAGCAGGAAGACAGGGAATTTATTACAAGCTTGGGAAAACAGAATGACAAATAGCAACTTGTGTTGCACATGCTACATCCCACATGGCTGGGGTGAACTAGTGAGCTCCCCCTGCTGGCTCTGCAACAGCAGATAATTAATGAAGGTCAAGATAAAAATAACACAATAACATGCTGTATTAGAGAAGTTCACTAATGGCCATAATGGAGGGAAAGAATATAATACGTAGGTTCTTAACCCGCATACAGGACCTCCACCCAACGCAGGCGGTATACGATCCCACAAGGGGAAACACTTAGCTGGACTTGGTGTTAGCTACAGTGATGACCTGGTGGGGAATCTGCAGGTACAAGGTAACCTAGGGGATAGTGACCCCCGATTGATTGAATTCACTATCTGGCGAAGGGTGGGTAATCTAACCAGCAGGGCTGAAGTGCTAGACTTCAGAAAGGCTAACTTCAGTGTGCTCAGGAGATTAGTTAGTGAGGCTAACTAAGAAGAAACTATTTCATAAAGCTCAAGAGCATTGGTGAAATGAGGTTCCAGGAAAAGCGGTCGTTCCTCAAGGGAGCAATCCTATGGGCGCAGAAGAAGACAATCCCATTGTGCATAAAAAGGGGCAAAGGGGCCAAAAAGCTCTCTTGGCTGAACAGGGAAGTCCAGGAAAGCCTAAGGGCAAAAAAGAGGTATACAGACTGTGGAAACAGGCGGTAGCTACCAAGGAGGAGTATACCTCCCTGGCTTGCACTTTCAGGGAATCAGTTAGGAAGGCCAAAGCAGGATTAGAACTGAGGCTGGCGACAAAAATGAAGGACAACAAAAAATCTTTGTTCAGGTATATAGGGAGCAAAAGGAAGGCGCAGGGGAGCATAGGACCCCTACAGGACAAACTAGAGCAATTGGTGACAGAGACAGGGGACAAAGACGAGCTCTTCAATGATTTATTTGCATCTGTGTTGCTAGACACAGACCAAGACAAATCTCCCAACTGGACCATAGATAGACACAGGAGGGACACCAGCCCACCAACTGTTAGCGCAGACTTTGTGAAGGGGCACTTGGAGGGGCTGGATGTGTTCAAATCAGCAGGCCAGGATGAACTTCATCCAAGGGTGCTGAAGGAATTGGCCAGTGTCATAGCAGAGCTGCTGGCACGGCTGTTCGAGCACTCATGCTACCAGAGGATTGGAAAAGCGCCAATGTGGTCCCTATTTTCAAGAAGGGGACGAGGGAGGAATCAGGACATTAGGGGCCAGTTAGTCTCATCTCTATCCTTGGGAAAACTCTGGAAAAAATCATTAAAGATCACATTTGTGGGAGCCCAGCAGGGGGGAAAATGCTGAAAGGAAATCAGCACGGATCCTGCCTGACTAACCTTGTTTCTTTTTTGACCAGGTCACAAAATGCTTAGACGCAGGAGTTGAGCTAGATGTCATCTACCTAGACTTTAAGAAGGCCTTTGATACGATATCTCATTCTGTTCTTGTAAATAAACTGACAGGCTGTGATGCAGATGATTACACGGTCAGGTGGGTGGCAAATTGGCTTAGGGGTCACACCCAGAGAGTGATGGTGGATGGGTCGATATCGACCTGGAAAGATGTGGGCAGTGGAGTCCCGCAAGGCTCATTTCTCAGACTGGTGCTATTCAATGTCTTCATGAGTGACTTGGACAAGGGTGTGGAGAGCACCCTGTCCAAATTCACAGATGATACCAAATTATGGGGCAAATTAACACAGCAGAGGGCAAGGAACGGATCCAGGCGGAACTGGACAGGTTGGAAAAATGGGCAGAACGAAATAGGATGCAGTTCAACAAAGACAAGTGCAAAGTGCTGGGCAAAAAACCCCCACCAACACACTTCCAGGCTGGGGGATGACTTTCTCAGTAGCACAGCAGCAAAAAGGGATCTTGGAGTCTTAGCTGACTCCAAGATGAACATGAGTTGTCAATGTGATGAAGTGATCAACAAGGCTAACCATACTTTATCATGCATTAGCAGATGCATGATGAACAGGTCCAGGGAGGTGATGCTTCCCTTCTATGTGGCACTGGTCAGGCTGCAGTTGGAGTACTGCATCCAGTTCTGGGCGCCGCACTTCAACAGGGATGCGGAGAATATTGAGAGGGTTTGGAGGAGGCTACTCATATGGTCAGAGGCCTGCAGGCAAGGCCCTACAAGGAGAGACTGAGGGACCTAAATCTCTTCAGCCTTCACAAAAGAAGGCTGAGAGGTGATCTTGTGGCTGCTTATAAATTCATCAGGGGAGGGCAGCAGGGAATAGGAGATGTTCTATTTACGAGGGCACCCCTTGGAGTAACTAGGAACAATGGCCACAAATTGACGGACAGCAGATTTAGGTTGGACATCAGGAAGAACAGTAAGGGTTGCCAGAATCTGCAACGGGCTTCCAAGGGAGGTGGTGCTCTCCCCTACCTTGGGGGTCTTCAAGAGGAGACTGGACAAGCACCTAGCTGGGGATGTCTGACCCCAGTGCTCTTTCCTGCCCAGGGCAGGGGGTTGGACTCGATGACCTACTGAGGTCCCTTCCGACTCTAACATCTGTGAATCTATGAACCCTTGTGCATGCTCTCTGATTGGCTGTTCATTATGTTATATTTGATTTTATTGGATAGGTTGTGGACCTTAGGTCCAACATTATGTTCTTGTTCCATTATGTAAGTAATGTCAAGCAGGAAGTTGGTACTGAGAAGAAGGAAGCTCAGGCTGCAACTGGTGTGGCAGGACACTTATGTCTGGCAGTTTAAGAGGAGAGGCAGCTGGAAAAGCAGCCTGCAGGTGGTAAGGAGGGAGGGGGCTAATGAGAGCCCCACCTGACTAGGAGAGGGCTGGGCTTAGACAAGATGTAAGCCCAGACCCTGAGTTGAACAGGCAGTAAAATTCTAGAGGCTGCTGAGGGAACATCTCTTAAGCAGGATGGCTGCAGCTCCAGAATACCAAAGTGGAGAATAAAGCCAGCAGCAGTCTTGAGGTTTGGGAAGGGACTAAGGGGTGGCAGAGGTCCCCAGGAGACCATTTAGGGGACCAGAGCCCAGAAAGAGGCTATGAGTGGGACCAAGTCCAGAAGCCCAGAGTGGCGCTGAATGTGGGCTCAGTGAGCCCAGAGAGGGGCTGAGTGAGAGATCAAGGGGTCTGAGTGCCCAGAGAAGGGCTGAGTGAGGGACCAGGGTGTCCGAGAACCCAAGGGGACTGAGTGTGGGACCTGAAGATCTGATAGCCCGGAGCGGGGCTGAGAGTGTAGAAAAAGAATATCAGTGAGTGATGACATCTGCGAGGCATGGGGCATGGTATAGGGACAGATGGAGCCACCCAGTGAGCACATAAGGAAATGACCACAGACACCTGGTGGTCATTAGAAAGAGAGCAGATTGGGGAAGCCCTGGGGCAGCCTCCCTTATATAAAGCAAAGACATCAAGGCATGATGGGCAAATGAAGGGGTGACAGTCCACAGAGACAAGAATGGGTGAGGGCTGAAGGGACTCCAGGAGCTTCATGGCCACCCCTGGAAGGCACCCTGTTATAACTGGTACCTCCTCACCAGGCCCTCCCAGCAGAAAGTGAGGCTCCCTCACTCAACTGAGCTGCACTCCAATGGTTTACTGACAATAGGGGCATTGCTATATTGTTCAAATACAAGTTTGGTCCTCAAGAACTTTGCTTTGTCTTCCTGTTCCTCTCATTCCCTCTGGGGGAGGGCAAAAAGGGTGATCATAACATGAGGGCAATAAGGTGATTGTCAGCATCATCCCTGGACAGCCCCAGATCTGGAACAGGACCTGACACCATTTGGGACCGGGGCTGACAGTCACCTGATTGTCTACATGGGCCCTCAACAGCCCTGGGTCCTGGGGATCGGGGGATTGGGCTGGGGGTAGCTCCAGGTCCTGAACTGAGACACAGGGCTATCCTTTACTAATCCGCTTCACTGGGCATGGGGACACAGGTGACATGTCGGGGGGGGCAGGTGGCCCCCCCCCCAGATTTCTGCATTGATGGTGGGGCACAGAGCTGCAGCCCAGCCAGAAACAGGGCCTGAAAGCAGTGGGGGTGGCAGCATCAGTGGTGCAATTTCTGCACTGACCACTGGGCATGGGGCTGGAGCCTGGTCAGAGCCAGTGCCCGGCAAGTGGGAGCAGCAGCCGTGTCGAGTTGTAAACCCCACTGTCAACACTTACACGTCACCTCTGCATGGGGATCAGGGACAGGGCTATCCCAGAGCCCGGGACAGAGCTACCCCCTGCCCAATCTGCAGCCTTGTAGTGGTGTGATTGGGTCCTGAGGAATTTTATGTCCCATCCCAAACATTGCATGTCCTGCCTTGCATGTCTGGCATGGTGGGATGCACAATTTTTGGGATAGGGCACAAAATTCCTCAGATCCCAATCATTATTTGAAGATCTGCAACTACTTGGCCATTGGGAACAGAAGATGGCAAGGCTGCCCTCCTCCATTTTATGGCTAGTGCCTATTCCCAGGAGCTTACATAGTCATCTTAAGTGGCCAGGAATAGATTTCCACCCCGTATATAAGTGCCAAAGATATCATGTGGATGACCCAGACTGGCCACACAGACAACCAAGACGGGACCAGAACAACACCCAATGTATACTAATGTTAAGCTGCTCAGAAGAAATGAGTAAGTATACTCCACTGTCATATATAAATATTTCTGTACTGGTAAAGAGTATCACTGCACACAGTATTTTAAAGTAGAGATAATTTTGGCACAAAAAAGTAAATATTTCTTAAATATAGATGGTTTTAGCAGAGTTCCTATAGCCATAATCATAACACTCTGAGTTAGGAGCTGATTATACGGCATTCTATATTTCTTTCCCAGATCCACTGTTGTCAGTTTTTTTCATTTTCTCACTTTTCAAAGGCTGTCCCTAGATATGCTGTTGTATAAATACATGAAAATACTATTTGACTATCTCAAGCAATACTGGCTGCTATGGTAACAGAGCAAGACTTTGTGAAATAGTTTCTTCTGGATAATGCTTTGCTTGGTAAATGGTACACAGTAAATAAAAAGATATTTTTATCTTTTTAAAAAAGATTTTCAAACCGTGGTACTGAGACTTGGCAATTCATAGTTAAATCAGAGGGAACAGACAAATGTACATTTTAGCTGCTTTAAAAGGGGAGGGAGAGTGCACATCAGCTGTTACTATTTGGGACCTGCCGAATTTGCGATTTTGCAATTCTTGCGGAAACAGCAAGTTCAATCGGTACCCATGAAAAAGGCCGGTCCCTGCAAAAACATGCGGGGTCTGCGAGGAGACATGAAATCAGCAGCAACTGGGGGAAAAACTGAGAGAGATACAAAAACAGAAAAGGGTGGAAAGCCCTGGCATCCTGAAGCATGGGGGTAGGTCAGATTTTCGTGGCTGAACATGGTGGCCTCCCCCACCCCTCTGATGGGCCACCCCTCCCCAGACATCTGTCAGTCTCCATGGAGGGGTAGGACTTCTGGGGCTCCTTGGCCAATCAGAGGTCTGGAGACTCACCGTGTTCTGCCGTGAAAATGGTGCCTGGCATCACACACACATTGCAAAATCTGGGGGCAGCCACCCCAAATTCAGTAGGTCCCTAGTTATGATCTGACTTACACTTGCACAATCCTGTAGCCATGCAGATGAACTAAATCGACTAGCTTTGACACTGAATGAAGCAGGATTAAAACTGCAGCAGTTTTGCTACGCTTGTACTGCTACAAAATCATACAGAAATAAAAGCTGCATTGTAATAACTTACATTATTATCCCATGAAATCGATATAATTGCTAGCTTTATTGACACCTAAATAAATGCAATTTGGTTTTCTGTTCTACTTCTGTTGTCATAACCAGAGATCCTGGTTTCCTCTGTTTAAAAATCACAAATTCTCTGATTTCAAAATCCGTGTTTTTCCGGGATTAAAATGAAACACCACTATACATATAGGTATCAGTTGAACACAAAGTTTTATTGATATATTTACTATTTTAAAACAATATGAAAGCCTACCAGTGCCTCAATCATTATAATAAAATAAATTCTAAATACCTATATACAGTAAAAGCTTTGTTACCTGGCATCCCCCGGGAATGGGGGATACTAGATAACAAAATATGCCGGTTAACTGAGCGGCCTGGGCCACCGCTTCTCCCTCCGCCCCTCCCGCAGCCTGTGGGCCCTGCAGGACAGGGAGGTGGGTGCTGCACAGCCTGTTATGCCCCAGGGCCGTGCAGCGCAGGTTGCTTTGCCCCAGGCCGTGGGGCGCGGAGAAACTAGAAGTGCCACGGTGGGCACTTCTGGTTTCACTTTATCTTACAAGCCGGCATGCCAGTTAATTGAGCATGCCGGCTTGTAAGATGCTGGTTAACAGAACTTTTGCTGTATTTTGGTGTTTGGTTTTATTTTTTTTATCATAGAAAATCAGAGCTCCCCCTGCCCACTTTGCTCACCAGGATGTGGGTCCAGCTGCGACTGCCCCCCCTCCCCACTTTGTGGCACTGAGCAGCATTGATATGCCGGTGCCCTACCCCTACCCATGCCATTGCCCCTCACACCCAAGCCACAGTCCCCCCAGCTGTGCTGGTGCCCCTCACTCCCAACCCACAACCCCCTGGCCATGCTGGTGCTCCTAACTCCTGATCCACAACCCCCTGGCCATGCTGGTGCTGCTTGCTCCTCACCCCACATCCTGCCCACCCACGGCCCAGCAGGCAGGACCCGGCATGGCAGGGCTGGGGAGAGGTGCTCCCTGCCCACCCGGCAGCAGCAGGGGGCACAAGTCCATGCCACCGTGCCTGCTGCTGTGGGGCGACCAGGGGCCACGTTCCCCTGGGGGGGTGCAAGGCTCCTGGAGGCCCCTGAGGGAGGGCAGCAGCATGGAGAGCCCTAAGCCTGCAGCTGGCTGCCCACATCTGCCCCTGCCTGCGCACAAATCTGGGGGGCACGTATCCCCCATACTCTTCCCAGGAGTGCGCACAGTGGCAGGGAGCCGGCCCCATCGCTGCCCACCAGATGAATCGACTGTGGCTCCATCGTGCTCCCTGCCAAGGCCCCGCAGCTGCACATACCCACCCAGGTCCTGGGCCCCAAGCCCCAGGCCCCATGCACCGCCCCGATGGGTAGCATACCCAGCCCCAGCCCTGACCAATTCCCTCCCTATCGGGGCCTCAAACCCCCCTGTCCCCCACTCCTGACTTACCTGCAGGGAACTGTGGGAACTGCTCTCCATGCTCCCTGGCTGCCACATGTATGTGTGCATGCAGACATGCACGTGGCACCCCGTTCTTGAGCGCCCTGCTCCCGCTCCTCCCAGCCCCTTGCAGGCTCCTTGAAATGAGAAAATCTGAATTTTTCTGTGTTGTTCCGTAGTGAATGGAAAACCCAGATCCCAGGTCATAATGCACCTATTATCGTTTCATAGGATGTGTCCATTGCTGTTCCATTACCGCCACATCACATTTATTATCACATTTTCAGTCCTACCCAGGATGTTGCCCCTTCCTCATAAGAAATTCTAGAAGAGGAACAGGGTTGAACAAAACTGTGTTTTAGCAACCCAATTCTGGAATTTCCTTTTTTCTTCTACAGAATCATTAAACTGAAGCTCAAAAAGCTATTTAAGTTAATTACCCACAACCCCTGTGGTATAAGTAAGCATATCTCAGAGTTTTTGTGTCTTGAGACCCTTTCTAAACTCTTTCAGATTTTTTCTGCGTGGTTCCTGGAGCACTGAAATGTTCCTGGGGGCTATGACATCCCTTCAAATAAGTTTCCTTTACCGAACACAAGTGCCTGCCTGCTTTACTGCCCCAGGGTCTCTGAACTGCCAAGAGTGCTTCAGTGGAAGGCAAACATAAGGTGGGTACAATGTACACAGAATGAGGATTAAAATGTTATTTCTTTGAATGGTCATAAGAGGGTTACAGATGCCCTTCTGCCAGCCCAGGTCGTAACACTGAAAGAACAGAGATAGGAATAGTTTCTGTACAGCAGAGATGCAGTTTCTTTGATGTACATGGTAGTAAAGAGAAGTCCCCTACAACTAGCTGGGATTATCCGAGTGCCTGTGCAGGGCCGGATTAATGCATAGTTGTGTTTATTTTACATATTATAATTATTGAATGAAAAAAGTAGGGGCCCACGAGTGTGTTTGCCCACTAAAGGGTTAATCCGGCTCTGTGCCTGTGGCAACACAAGTTTGAAAACTCATCTTGCTTTGTGTTAAATCGGTGTAAACTGGGACTATGGGATTCTTATGCAATTACCTGGATTAGCTTTTGTGACTCCTTTCGTTCAGATAGGAACATTGCTTGCCTCTCCCAACACTGCTCCCCTCTCCCTTCCCCTTTCTCCCTCTCTGCCCCTCCCTTCTGCTTTTGTATTCACATTTCTTTCTCCTTATACGCAGCTTTGTGCACGTCCTTTCACAGCAGCTGCTGAAGTCAGCTCCAGCCCAGAAAAGCTTGTGATATACACAGGCAGACAAGTTTCGCACACACATACTTTGGTTAGTTTATACAGTGCAAATCAACCTTGCCATCTATTTCCTGTATTTTGACAGGAACACCAAGATTAAAGTGGGTATCGAGCAAGTAGAGCAGTCCTGTACTTCCTCATAGTATTGTGATGAAAACAAAGCAGTTTATCCAAGGAGAAAATATCGCTGCTTAGATTAAGAATACATATCATTTTAGACCAAGTCCATCCGAAAGCAAGAGCCAACGGGGAGGAGGCCAATATTGCCTCAGTGCTGTTAGGTTTGCTATGTTACCTATGCATCACTGTTGTAGTGTTGCTAGGAGAGAAGACACACACACATACATACACACACACACACATGCTCACGTGTGCACGCACACACACACACGCGCAGAAAGGCCTACATAATGTAATTGAAGGCCAGAATACATTTTGTAATAAGATATCTAGCCAGACCTTGAGGCATTGTGCATTTCATTTAGTCTTTATTTTTAATATCAACATCAACTACAAGTTATGAAGTTAATAAATGCTCTATTTTGTAATTAAGCTGTGGCCCTGTTAGCATTTTTAGGAAATAATTAAAACTGAAACACACCCCAGCTAGCTGATGCTCATTTGCACTCCCCTGAAGGAGTAATTGTTATTTTTCAGGGGTTGATTTGGGGTACAGAGCTGGTCTCATTGAAGTCAATGGGAGTTTTGCTATTGACTTCATTGGGAGCAGGTTTAAATTTAGAATCATAGAAAATGAGGGTTGAAGGGACCTCAGAAGGTCACATCTAGTCCAGCCCCTGTTCAAAGCAGGACCAGCCCCAACTAGATCATCCCAGCCAGGGCTTTATTGAACCAGACCTTAAAAACCTCCAGGAATAGTGGTTCCCCCACCTCTCGGGGTAACCTGTTCCAGTGCTGTACTACCCTCCTCGTGATACAGTTTTTCCTCATAGGCAACCTAAACCTCCCTTGCTGCAACTGGAGCCCATTGCTCCTTGTCCTGTATCTGCCACCACTGAGAACAGTCCAGCTCCATCCTCTTTCTACCACTGTGCAGGGAGTTGAAGGTTGCTATCAAATCTCCTATCCTGCTATCAAATCTTGTCTTCTCCAGACTAAATAAGCCCAGTTCCCTCTGCCTGTCCTCATAATTCGTGTCCCCCAGCCCCTGAACCATTTTTGTTGCCCTTCGATGGACTCTCTCTAATTTGTCCACATCCTGTCTGTAGTGGGGGGCCCAAAACTGAACAGAGTACCGCAGATTTGGTCTCATCAGTGCAGAACAGAGGGAAATAATTACTTCCCTCTGGTGCTAGGGTTCAATAACCTACCCAGGTGAGCTCTACCCGTCCTTCTCTGCCCTCATCCTTTCATTACCTACTATTCCACTTTGCCCCACCCAACCTATGTGACAACCTGCCTTCTCCCTATCTTTTGCCCACACAACCTCACCTTTCTGCTTGTTTGCTTAGTCCACAAGGCCTCCATCCTCTCTTCCTTCAACTCCTTCCTTGTGCCCATTGGCGACACATAGGGGGTGCACGTGGGTGCACGTGCACCCCCGAGCATGGTGGTGCACCCCGGGCAAAAAGGTGCTGCCGACAGTGCCTGCTGGTGGTCGTCGCTCGCCACCTCCCCGCCACGCTGCTGACACCACTGGCAGCGTCTGCGGGCATCCGTGATCGCTACTTGCTGCTGCCAATGTTGCCAGCGGCATCTGCAGGTGGTCGCCGGCCACTGGTCAGTGCTCGCCACCCCGCTGCTGCTGACAGCGCTGCAGCTGCCTGCGGGAGCTCCCCGCTTACCGCTGCCACGCTCCTGCCACCAACAGCGCCACTGCCACCTGCAGGAGCTTGCCGTGCCCCCCAGCCTCTGGGGGCACGTGGTGTTCATGCTTGTCCCAAAATCCTTTGGACTTGTCTACACACAGAACTTGCCCTGGTTTACCTAAAATCAGTTAGGAGTTGTCAACAGAGCTTAGGTTTAACCTGAGTCAATTTGAAATCAGTATAATTAACCGGCTGAAGGCTCCTGATGGACACCCTTAGTTTAAACTGTTTTGTTTTCAATCAACTTAAGCGATACCAAAAAAATCACTTTTACACCAGACTAAGTATCCACATGAGGATTTGCACAGGCTTAACTAATCAAAGTTTTAATTAAACTGGTGCAATGCTGTGCACAGGCCATTTTCCTTCATTTTTATTCCCCACTATAAAAAACAAAACAAAAATCCCTGCTAAGTGACAAAATATAAAACTGGTATACAAAAAGTAGTAATGCAAAAATTGACCAACCACAAAAGGAGCCAGCCAGGGAAACTACAGTGTTAAGTGCTTCATAAGGGAGATACATGCCAGGCGTATCCACATGTGCATTAAAGTGGTTTAGTTAATGTGCGTTAAATCTAGTACTTCCGCATGCCTATATAGATGCAGCGCGGCTGCTCTGACGTGCTGTAATTACAGAGCGTCAGAGCAGACTCAATTAATTGAGTCTGCTGGAGTCTCCCACTGCCATTTTTCAGCACAGGGACACTGATACATGAGATGTTCTGGGTGCTTTAACTAGAGCAGCTCTTGAAGCTGCTTTAAATAAAGTGCCCCACTCCCCCACTCCCAGACCACGTGTATAAATGCCCTCCATTGTGAGGTACTAGGAAAACGTGCATTAGCCTGTTTTAAATTGTATTAACTAAAGAGCATGTTATTTTAGTGATGCTTAATGCGCATTAGCCTGTTTTAATGAGCATTAACTAAATAGCACTTTTTTTAGTTATGCTTTGGGTATGTCTACACATGTCACTATGGCGACATTGTTACTGCCAAAAGGAACTGCCAAAAAAGTACTGCCAAAAGGAAGTACTAAGTCACAGTGCAGTAACAGCCCATATTGTACCATTTACATGGCGCACAGTTATTTTTAGCAGCTACTTTGCTGCAGCGACACACTATATTGGGGAGCACGGTGCTACGGCAAAGTAGCTGCTAGTCATGTGTAGACACCTGCAGTTGCTACTTCGCCATAGCACATTGCTACAACGATGTATCCTCATGTGTTGACGCACCCTTTAATGCTCATTAAAATAGGCTAATGTTCATTAAAGCGCATGCATAGATGTGCCTGGCCACTGCTTATTCACTTGCCTTTTCCTCCACTCTTTGACTGTATATTGTTTCATTTAAATTGCAAGCTGCTTGGAGCAGGGATGCTGTCCTTATTCTTGTTTCTAAAAGACTTAACATGCTTTTGGTCCTATCTTATTAGTCCTGTATAATTGATGATTGAATGTGTTTTTAATATGAGGCTGTCGGGGGCTCACCGAGAGAGGAAATTGATCCTTATGCAGAAGACTTCTACAAGAGTTATGCACACCTTAATCTCCTTTAAGCTCTATTGGAGGGTTTATATGGGACTTAAGCAGTGCATATGCTTTATGGAAGTCATCTGAATGGCAAATTTCACCCTGAAGTGGGATTTAAAATTTAGAGTTGCTTGATGGTACAGGCTGGATTCATTTCTTCAGACCACAGTGCCTTCAGTGATGTTCCCAGTTTATCGGCATAATATACACGTGTACCCCTGGTCATCGAAAAATAAAAATACCCAGGAAAATTCTAACATCTAAAAAGATGGACAGTTAATGTAAAGATCAGGTATGTTTATGATTCAGAAAGTGATGGAAACCAGAAGCTCTGAAGTGATATCATACATTTTCTGTTCATAACACACTGTCTTCAGTTTACATTATGGTGGTGACTAAACCATCTGTGTTTATAATAACTATGAAAAGGACAGAGTATAAGTTCATTGCATAAAACATCCTCTGATAATAACAGATTTTTGCTTGTGTCACAACATTGCCATGGAAATTCTTTATGATTCTTTAGTGGAGTATGTGAATGGGTCAATTTACAAAAGTCAGATGGGCGTTTTCTCAGGAAACTTAGCGTGAGTAATAGACTAGAGCGCAGATGTCTAGTGTATTGTGATCTAGAGACCCTGCACGGTGCACGAGGCCATGGTAAGTAGTTCATGGGTAGTGCAAACTCCACCCACACCCCTTTTTAATCGAAGACTTGGGGATAAGAGCGTGTGGTGATCCACAAGGAATGGTAAAGGTTCGCAGCAGTCCTTTTGTCTATAACACTTGGGAACTACTGGACTAAATCGTCTTTGGCATGGCATGAGAGAACATAATTTCACCCTCCTCTGACAATAGGTAACCATATGGAATAATAATAACTAGTCATCACTGTCATCTGAGAATTAAGATGCATAGATTGAGTCCCACGTCTGAAGGTACAGTTTGCTTGTAACAGAGCAGATCGCTAAGGGATCACTGAGCATTAGAGTGAATGGAGAGACTTTCTTGTGCATCATTGTTCTCATCTCAAAAATGAGTATAGCAGTGATTAATTCAATTCAGAGTTCAGGGGAAAACTCACTGATTGGAGACCTCAGGAGTTCTCCAGAACTTTCTCATTTTACAAGTACCAGGAGGCATAATGTAATGCAATTTGATCCTCTAGTGAATATACAAAGAATAATATATAACAGTGCCAAGACTGTTAATAATTTTCCATAGGAAGTCGTGGAAGCCTCCTCTTTAGCCATTTAAAACTAATCACATGAACCGATACGTGACAGGAGCAATCCTCTAGGGGCTGAGGGCAGGCAAGGACAGAATTAGATGACTAAAATACCTTTTCCACGTCTAACATGTATGATATTTTTGTGAATTACTATGTTGAAAAAAAATCAACAATTACTAACAACTTTGTTCGTAACGCTCTTCTCCAAGTCTGTTAATGAAGTGTTTCTCCTGGCCAGCTTTTTTTTTTTTCTCCTTTCATTTTCATTGATTTATTCCCCTTTGTTTCGGCTGGAACACTAAATCCAGGCGGCTTTCCTGTTTACTTCCTTTTTTGTGCACCAGCATGGTCAATAATGTCAGCACAAATCTGAGAATATGGTTCATTAGCTAACTCGTGCACCCTCTGCTGGCTTGTCCATGTGAGAGCACAAAATAGCACAGCTTCCTCACTTATAATCAGGTGATGGATTTCAATAGAAATATCCCTATGTTCAGTCTACAGGAGTTTCGCTCCCAGAGTTAATGTAGAAAGATCACTTCTGATATGTGAACCAATAGGGCCTTTTTAAAAATAATACTCAGCAGCATAATGAACTCAAGAGAATGAAAGTTGTGAATTTATTGGATTTCTCAGGCAAGAAGCCAACCATGTTCTGAACAGGGTCTGAGATTGACATCCCACATATTATTATAGGATTATAGGCAGGTTCGCAAAGTTTACTGACTTTGGGGGCCGGACTTGATGATCTCTTCAGGTCCCTTCCAACCCTAGAAACTATGAAACTATGACTCCCTCTGCATATGCCAACAAGAGACAGGAATATGCACTGGGGCAGTGGGCCCAGGGGTGGATCCAGGGGGTGGTGGTGCAGTGGCATGGTTGCACCCCCTTCAACAGTGTAAATCACCTGCTAGTGACTCCAGGGTCCAACAGCTGCAGATGCTTTTTGTTCCTTGTAGAGTCAGAGGCACGGATTGAGCCCTGGGCTGATGGGGAATACCCAGGAGACCAAGCAGGAAGCAGGTGAGGAGGGGAGGATCTTCCCCTGCCACTGCTGTCCCCAGTTGATGGGGGGTGGTAGAAGCCCTATGCCACACATGCCCCACTCTAGCCAGGGGCTGTGGGGAGCAGCTGCATGAGTCGCTGGGCTCAGCACCAGCAAGTGGGTACCTGCACCCTGTCTCCCAGGTTTACCCCGCTGATTGGGGTCTCCAGTTGTGGGGAGCAGCCATGCAGGGTGCCAGGCAGGGTTAGGGGTGTTGGCATCAGTGCATGGTCTCCCCTTCCAGTGCCTGCTCCCAGCCAGTGGGAGATGCACAGGGGGTCTGGGCAGGGAGCAGGTGCTGAAAGGGGCACTTGCTGACACCACCATTGTCCCCGACTGAGCCTGGCACCTTACAGCAGGAACAGCTCTGGGACTTCTCCTGCCCTGGGCCAGCCAGGGACAGTGCAGGACCCTCCTTCAGGCACCCAGAGGCAACTTCTCCTGGGGAGAGGTGCCCAGAGCCAGGGGGGGAGGGGGCAGGGGAGTCATACCTGCTTTGGGGACTCATAAAAGCTCCCAGCAGATGCTGCTACTGTGTGATCTGTCTGGAGAGAGATGTAGAGAGTATCCCCATTATTCCAGTCTCATCAGCCACACCCCACTTTTTGAAATCCTAGATCTGCCCATGAGTGGGCCTGTGTAGGTACAAATATATATTTTGAAGGAGGTAGAGAGGTAAGGAAATTATGATATGAAGTGTGGGTATCAGATGCAGGCAAAAAAGGCAGGACGTTGTCTCAAACAGCCAATTAGGAAAATGTGGGTGATATAGAACTGGGATAGAAAACGTTATGTCAGACATTCCTGACTCCACTAAGTATGCAAGGGGCAGGTGATGACCAGGGATGGGGTTGAAACACCTTTTGCTTCAATGAGCCTGTGCTCATTGCATGGCCTCTGGGGGGAATATTGCAACTGGAACAAGTTAAAGTGACTCAAGGCTGCTGTAGCTTGCAGCAAGGATGGAGCACGCTCTCCAGGAGCCTATGTGCCAAGTTCAATAGGTTAAGGAGAGATGCATAAAATAGCAAGGCTATGCTTCTCATGAAGTGAATAAAAGAACTTGCTGAGCTTTTTAATTATGCAAAAAAATCACTTTACTCAGCTCAAAGGCGGACAAGCATTTAATCATGTTTTCCAGGAGTGTTTAAATAAAAGCATGGGATAGGCAGCACTGCTGGTTGACTATCTGATCGTTCAAGAACTGACTGAGACCCTAGTAATGAAAATCACCTTGGCAGTGTTAATGTTTTCCCCAGCCCAGTGTGAAAAGCTGACCTGATCCAGCTGCACTGGAATCAACAGCAGCACTAGGGCTGACTCCAGGAGGACAGTGGAACTGGCCCTTTAAGAGTTGCTTCCAGAAGCCTTACTGAAATCTGGTTTAATAGCTCATGTTATCAAGTTGCATTAATGAGTCTCTCCCCTCCCCATTGTTATTATTACAAGTTACTTTTGCAGTCAGAAGAAGAGATGGAAGCTTTCCAGCTTTCCCCTACATTCACACTAAACTGAACAAGAGTGTGAGAGTAACTGCATGCAGTATCTAGTGTCTGCTTTGTATTTTAAAGATATGAATTGCTTTGCTGTTAAGGTTGTACTTTTATTACCATTTGTATTTTCCCTCTCATATCAGTAAGGAGCCTTTCATCTTTAGGAAGGGTCCGGTTCCAACTGCTGCTTTCAAGTGCAGGCATCATATGCAGCGACTGTAAACTGTGCTATCCAAAGGCAGCTTTGTCCAGTGTGTTGAGTTTTTGGTCTAGTTCTCAGGGGATGGAGATTTCCAATGTTATCAATACTTCACTTTTCTAATGTAACTATTTCTTTTATGTTTTTATAAGACACATGGGCAACTGGTGCTTCCTGAGTCAGGGGGGGCCCTTGCCCCCCCCAGCGGACAGTCAGTGACCCAGGGTGGGGGT